ATTGAAATAAACAAACATTTGAAACAAACATAATTTAACCATTGAATAAATTCTTACAGAAAATAAAAATAACTTATCCACCATAATTTATGGACAAAAGAAACAAGGATTAGAATATCTATTTTCAATCATAAATCAGGAAATAATAAAGATTTAAAAATGAGGATTAAAATATCTTAATTATACTTTTTATTTGATTAATAACATAATTTTACATATTAGAGATATAAATCACAACATAAATGTTCAACACTTTCTTTTTGTAATGAAATAAATATTCTTCTTAATTGTTACAATATCATAATTCTTTTAGAATGATAAAACTTAGATTGTTATATTATTATCAAATAAATTGATAAGTTAATAATCATTTAACAAAAATACATTTGATGAAAGATTTTTATTGAATTTAATTCTGTCTTCAAGTAATTTAATTAAATATATGTTTTTGTTTCATCACTATATTTTATTGATTTTTAACTCATAACCAAAATAATACTAACTACAATTAGTTATTTCATCATGTTTAAATATTTCATTTTATTATATTATCATTAGTATACAAAATCAATAATGAGATAATAGATTATTATATTAAATACAAACTATTTGATTTTATTGATAAATTCACATTGTTATGAACAGAAAATATTGAGTTTGAAGAATATTTTATAATATATCAAAAAGTTGTTTGATTAATTATATATAATTCATTATATTCTATTCAATATTATACAACAATCATTATTTATACAAAAAAGAATCACAAAAATATGAAATAATTTATTATTCAATAACAATTCTTTATTAATAATGTTAGGATGGATATTATTTATTGTTATTCATTGAACTGATTGTTGTTTTTCTAAAAAAACAATGTAAAAACACAAAATAAGAGTGTTTAATTTGTTTATTCTTAATATTTCATTAATTGTTATATCAAAGTTAGTTATTTTTGATTAATCAATTATTATGAAGAACAGATTGTGAAATTATAGAAATTAAATATAAGAATGAAGAAATATTAAATAATATAAACAAAATAATAAATTATAAATATATAATGTAATTTTAATATCATAACTATTATTAACATATCTTCTACGTTATTTTATTATCAAAAATTAATGTATCACTGGTATATTACTGAAAAAGTTAATTTATTTTTATCAAACAACTCTTATATTTTCTCATTTGATATAGTCTTTGTTATGTATTCTGTTTGTTATTAATCCAGTTATTAAATATTAAATATCAATTAATTAATATTTGTTATTTTATTCTTTAAAGAATAATATTATGTTTATCTTGTGGTAAGATTCTTTCAAATAAGTCATAAATTTATATGTTTTATTTCATATATTTTTATCAATAAAAAACTGATGTTGGTCAGTGTTAATAGAAATATAGAATAAATGTTAAACCACTATTAAAATATGAATAGTAATTGTAAATTAGATTTTGTTATAAAATAAAAGTAAAATGAACATAATTAAATGTTTATTAAGAAATTTAAATAATAAAATAAATTAAAGTAATTTGTTCTTCAATTAATTGTAATTTTTCATTTTATGGATATGATAATAATAAATCAAATAAATCATACAAAACAATTAATATATCTGTTAGTTTTGATAAATAATATTTATAATGTATTATAAATATTCAATATTAAGTTTAATGAGTTCAGAATATAGAAATGATAATACAAAGAGAAGAATAAAATAGTTTCTTAAAATTGATAAAATTAGTTTATATTGTTCATTATTTTGTTAAGATTAATCATATTTATTATCATTTAAATTTATGAAGTGTTTATTTGTTTTGATAAAAACAATATTTATGATATCCATCATATTTTTATTATATTAGTTTAGTTATTTAATGTTGTTGATTCTTTTTTGTTATTTTGTTAATTAATTCTGTATTCATTTAATATATTATTTGTTTAAATATGGTTAGTTTATCATATTTATCTTCTTTATTTTATTTCTTCTTTCTTTTATTCAATATCTATATTATATTTAATTAATTATTTAAATTATTTAATTTCATTTATTATTCTATTTCTTCTTTTTATTTTATTATTCTTTGTTTATTATTTCTTATTCTTTTATATTCATTTCTTCTTATTCTTTATTTCTCTATTTTTATTCTTGTAGTTTCATTTCAATATTCAATATTATCACTATTTTGTATTTATTATCATTTTTGTTTCTCTATTTCATTGTTCAATTTCTTTATCATATTGTTGTATTGTATTATTTTGTATTATTGTTCATGTTATGTATTTATCTTTTTTTACTGTTTTTATTTTTATTTCATCTTATTATTATTTAGTGTTTGTTTTGATTTATCTCTTTATTTCTTCTTCTTATCAAAATTAATGAGTTAATTGTTAGATAATATCATCATTATCTCTTCTTTCTTATTCATTTCTTCTTTCTTATTCTTTTATTTTACTTTTATCATCATTTATTTATCATTTTCATTAATTGATTGGAATTAGATTGTTCTTTTATTTATGTTTTCATTTTTATTTCATTCTCATTTCTATCATTATTTGTGATTTTAACAATATTTGTGATGAATAATTTGTTCTTCTTCTTTATTATCTCTAATTTCTTGATATTTTGTTGTTATTTAAATTTAATAAAAAAGAGATTTAATTTAAAGAATAAATAAAAATAAAAAGTAGATAATTAAGTGTTAATAGTTTTATTTTCTATTGTTCCTTGCTCAAGTGGAGATTAACTAATCTCTTTACTTTAAAAATATTCAATATTTATTAGCTTATTCTTTGTTTTTAGTTCTTGAAATGTTACATTTTCCTTTTCTCGTTTATTTAATGTAGAATAAAGTATTTCAGATATCTCAGAATTAAACATCATTATTTAAGTTATTATCTGGTTTTCATGAGTATTAAAATCCATCTTCTTTACTTTCTTATTTTAACAGAATATATCGTTGTCACTTATTATAATGATTAATTTTCATTTTAGTGTTAATCACAACAACCAGATTAATCCTTTTACTTTGATAATCCCATATTATCAATATACTTGTATCATAACAAATAAATAATACCACTTTTACAAATACCAACTCTTTTATTGTCAATGATATTCAATTAACATAAATAATAATAACTGGTATTGTTGTAGTATTGAGTAAGATGTTTTCTAACCAAATGCACGTCACAACAACACTATAACTGAATGTTCAAAGCATGGAAATATTTTATGGTCTTTGTGTTTTCTCTAACATGCTACCTTCAAATTTAAAGAATAATAAAATAATAAATAAAATGAAGTGTTAAAATTTGTATTTAAGTATTTAATCATCTTATTTTAATCCGATATTCATTAAATTAAAATGGAATCAGTGATGAATAACCATTTAATTAAAGAACTAGTAGAAACACTTCCAAATATTTATCAATCAATTGATGATACTATAAACATTATCAATATTATTTAGGATGTATTAAAAATGAAATATTTGAGAAACAAGATAATGAAACATATTCAGAAGCAATTAAAAGAGGAGAAGGAATATTTGATAGAATGGATGAATTAGTTAGAAGAAAACTAATAATAGAAAAAAGTCAAGAAACAATTAAAACAATAGAAATAATTAAGAATCAAATGAAGAAGATAATAGAAGAGTGTAATGATGAATCAGAAACAGTTAATAAAGCTAAGAATGAACTAATAGATAAAATCATTCACATGAAAGAAATGGATATGGAAGATAAAATTAATAAATTAGAAGAAGAAATTAACAATATTAAAATAAGATTTAATAAAAAGAAAGAAGAATGGTTTACACAATATAGTAATTATTTAGAGAGGAAGAAGAAAAAAGAAGAAGATGAAGAAAAAGAGAGAAAAAAAAGAGAAGAAATTCAACAAATAGAAGAATGGACAAATAGAAAAGTATTCAATATAATATTTGATTCAGATAAAGATAATTGGAATATTAATACATCAGTATTTGAACAAAGAATAATAAATAAAGAACATATATAATTATTATTGAAGATTCAGATGGAAATAAATTTGGAGGATATGTTGATGAGAAAATTGATAAAGTTAGAGATTTTATATATGATCCAAAATCATTTTTATTTTCATTAGAATCAAATGGGAGAATACAAGGAATGAAGAAATTTGATATTAAACAACCAAAAGATGGATTTTATTCAGGTAATCAAATAGATAAATGTTTGTTTAGATTTTGAGGTGTGACATTTATGTTTATAAAAAAAATGATGAAACAAAATCATCTTGTATTTAATATTCAATTTCATATAAAGGAATAACAAATGCACTTTGTTGAAAAAAGGACACTTCACACCACAACGAATCATTGTAATTGAAATGATTTAATTTATTATTATTTATTTGAAATATAAAACTAAAAAAAGAATATAAAATAAAATCAATAAATGAATATGAATATTTCATCTATCAATAAATGAAATGGTGAATATAAAAATGGACATATTTCATTCTTGTTTTATTTCATTTGAAAGAATCACACCCAATGGGGGTGTTAATTTAATAAATAATAAAAAGAAATAAGAATAAAAGATAAATAAAAATATAATAAAATATTTATT